GCCTGTAGCTCCTGCTCGGCTTGAGGCTGATGCTGGCTGTGTGCTGGTGAGGTCGGAGGGTACTCCGCCGTGTCTTCAATCATTTCCGTGTCACCTGCTGGTCGTGATGGTGTGCAGCCTGTGGTGCACCGGTTGGGGCGTCCAGTCGGCGACGCTGCAATGGTGGCTGTGTGTCCTCCTCCTCTTCCAGTTCCAAACCTTCGCCTTCCTCCTCCGATTCCACATGTTCAAATCGCTGGCGGTTGACCACGTTCAAGTCCAACATGCGTGTCACACCACGGAAAGTTTTTCGGTTTGTTTGTTGAGCAGGGCCTTGCGGTGAAGTGCAGTGTCAAAATCCCAACCGGTCTCATAGCCGCAGCCAAACACTTCAACTTTGCAACCAAGCGATTGAGCGATTTCGGACACTCTTGAGGCACCGGCATAGATCTCCCAGATGAGGCGCGGACGTGGGCCTGAGTGCAACTCAGCTGTCACCATGTGGCTTGTAGTTGTCGTTCATGATGGTTCAGGGAGTTGTCCATGCGCTTCCAGTCTTTCAGGATGACCTTCCTGCTCCCATCCGTCACTGGTGAATGACCGCTGTCCTGAGAGACCCCCTCAACATTCATGTAAGTTTTGAGATCCACGGTATAGGCTTCCTCAGTGTCGGTGAGGGCGGAATCTGCTAGGACTAGGTCAAAAGGCGGTGAGTGATGGAACATTTCTGGCCTGAAGTCCGAGGTCAGTGAAAGCAGGTATTCTTCGTGACGACCAATGGTGATCTCTTGCCAAGAAGATTTGTCCCACATCATGAGCTTCTTCTGGAAGTTGATGGTCAGTCCCAAGGCTTCCAAAATCGGTCGGCCCATCAACATTGGCGTCTCGACAGGGATCAAGAAGCCGGTGATGTAGCCGTAGGCATGGTTGAAAAACACAGGAACTCGCACTTTCCAACGACATGTGACGCTGTGGTCGCCACCAAAGTGGAAAACTCGCTGGATCTGAGTGAGCTGGATGCTGTCGGTGTCATACTGGAGGCCTTTGAGATGTTCAACATAACGGTGGAAAGGACCTGTACCCATGAGGCAGGCTGAGGCTCCAGGATCGATCATAGTGGCATCCACTCTCTGTCGTCCCTCGTGTCCGGCCTCATCCATTGGAGTCGGTGAGGCGGCCATCCCTTCAGCGTGTTGTCGTTTCGATGGAGAGGATGGCGATGAAGTACCACCTGAAGTCTTTGACCGTTTCGGACAGTTCGCGGCCATGTGACCAGATCCTCGCAGCGAAGGCATTGAATGGCTGCTGTCGATCGAGCACGAGGATCAGGGGCTTCTCCACCAGGACGTGGTGGATAGCCAACTGTGTTGGAGCTTGATCTTCCCTTCTTGCCGCCCTTCGATGGGGAGCGAGGTGGTGAAGAAGGCTGTGGGGCATTGTCATCCTGCAAGGCGACGATGGGGAGATAGCCACGGCTCAATTTGAGATCTGCAAAACGTCTCCGAGCATCAAGGTATGTGGCGTAGACAGTGTCATACTCCCATTCAGCTGAGGCGGCAACGAATCCTTCTTCTTCCTCAAGTTCATCGGCTTGGAAGTAGCCGGCATCAAGTCAAAGGTTGACTCATCATGTTGCCAGGATTCGATGGGGACTTGGTCGTAGTCGTGGTGGTCATCAAGCTCTTCTTCATAGAAGACATCTTCATCCTCTTAACTCTCATCAACCACATAGGCACGGCCAACGGTCCCTTGTCCGTGATGACAGCGGCCGTGTGATCCTGCCAAGGATCAAGTACAGCGCCTCCTGCACTTTGTTGTGCTCCAGCCCGTGAGAACCATCTGGCGCTGTTCCTTGGTGATGTTGGCCTTCTTGAGGAGGAACCAGCCAAGGACCTGTGAACAGCTTGACGCCGTGAGCCTGCAGGCTGCGGAACTCATCGAACTCGGTGCAGAACTGCAACATGGTAGTGCCTGGCTTCCTGACTCCATGAGTGAAAAAGTTCTCGAAGTCTTGAGGCACCTGCGCCCTGTTGTCATAGGCGAACGCCTTAATTATCCAGGAGCTCAAGGATGGTGTCAAAGGCGGTTTCTTTCTCGACGTTCTTCAAGTCGAAGTCCTCCACCACTTTCCAAGCTGCTCCTTGCAAACTTCCAATCAGGTTGAGGCAGCATTCTCCAGTTCGTTTCTGGAGCTTCATCTTGAGGTAGTAGATGTTGATGCGCTTTCTCCATTCAACGTATGGTTGGGGTTGGCCATCGAACTGGGGAATGAAGTTATCCCTCAAGCTGTTTGTATCCAGGCTTGTAGGCTTGTGGATGCCTGAGCGGTGGACATGTTGTCCTGGGTCTGTCGACCCAATGGTGCCAGGGTCTGTCGACCCGATGGAGCAGTTTGTTGCGGTTTGTGGTGAGGTGTAGTGCTGTTGCTGTGGTGGTGTGTGTTGAGAGGTTGTAGTGAAAAAGGTGCCTGGAGATGACCCGGTTAGGTCAGAGCTCCGCTACCATGCAAATGCTATGGTAGCAAGAAGTGCGGACGCACGAGGTTCCGACTCGACGAACGGAAGTCGCTTTTCCCAACCACGGCCGAACGGTGAACCCACCCACCTTGCTTGAGGCGAGCGAGCGTGTCTGAGGATCGAACGGCCTGACTGAATGCATGAAGTGCATTTCAGACAGATGATTCGTCCTCACCCCCTTAGCCTAGGAAAATGGGGGGGAGACGTAAAAAAATGCAAGTTACATTTTCGCAGGATGTATAAATGTAAGTTACCACCCGCTACGTGGTTTTCAGGGGGTCAGATAATGTATGTTACCTCCCAAAACAAAACAACCAGGTCCATCGTGAGATTATAATCGCTGGGATCCCCTGACCATCCTCAGTCCGCGTCAGTGTGCGGATGGTGACTTTTGAGGGGTGGGGTGGGGGTGGTTTAATGTAGCAGAACGCCTGGAACGTGGTATAGGGAATCACACTTTGATGGCGCTCACGAAACACCTTTGATATGCAATCAATTTGTGATCTCTACTTGGGAGACGCCACTTGAGGCTAGATCCTGGAACAAATAGATTGCATCTAGTGAGATGATGGAAAAAAAAACGTCCTTCGAGAGGCTTCAGCCGCTGGCTGGAGTTACATGCAAACATGTGTGCAGAGAGGTTGGTGGCATCTGGGCTTGGTTGTGTTGCCAGATCTCCGGCTTTGATCGTGGTGTGCCATCAAAGTGTGGTTCCCATGTACTGCATGTTGATGTTGTTATTTTGTTTTAATTTGGTTGGAAAAATGTCCTGAGTTTGACTGGTTCAGGAACAACTCAGTAATCGGGAAAAGGAGTTGGTCACATGTGGGCGACGGAATCCTCAAACTGCAGAGTCAGAACGCAGCACGTATTGATGGCATCCACGCTCAAAACATAGGTCTCCGGTAAGGCCTTAGTGGTATCCCATTTCCATCATTTTGGATCAGAGGCGGGATGCCATCAAAGTGTGATTCCCTATAACTTACATGTTTCGACCCCCATTACGTTTTTTCAAGCAGTTGGTTTTTGTCAGTTGTAGTCATTCAATTGTACAACCACCACATATCACCAATTGTTCACCACCCCAAAAAATTAAGCAGTGCTGGCACGGAAGCAACGTAAATGTAAGCTGGCAGAACTGAGGTTCTCCAATCACCATGAGGAATGTGTTCTATGGCGCCCTTTAGGCGGTTTCCATTCATTTTTGTAACAACCATCACATATCACCACCCAAGAACACCCACCTTCACTTTCTTGAATGTTTTTGAAGTATGCTGACAGTCTGTGAGGACCTCCAACATGTAAGCTTACATTTGTGACGCCGTTTTTTAAAACATGCAACCTTAGATTTTTGAGGCCCTCTTTCGAACATGTAAGCTTACATTTTGGATCCCTCGCTCGAGCCCCCCCAAAACTGCAACTTGCAATTTTAGAGGTTCCCCCCTTAATTGGTAGGGATGATGATTGGAGATTCGTTTGTTTGGTTTCTTGCAGGGGTCGGATTGAACTTGAAATGATGACAAAACAGTGGCCATCACAACTGAAACCTCACCACTGTCGGTATTGTTTCCAATAAGTATAATTTCAAAATTTTGGAGCCCAATCAAGTCCATAAGTGGTTGGGTCGTGTTTTGGTTGCGAAAAGCTTTACGAACCATGTTTTCGATGCACAATATCATATGCAGCAAGGCTCGGTAGCCTTTTGCGCCAATCGCTGGATTCTTCAATGCCGGGCAGTATCAATGAGGAATCGTGGTTTAAACATTTTTGTCGGTTGTTAATTTGTTATGTGCGCGCCGAACCATCCATGAGCAAAAACTGCAAACGTTACTTTTTGTTGTTGAGTTCCGGAAGGTCTGCACCCTGGCACGGGATATTGCACTTTTAGAACGCGCGCGTAGGCGAAGTGGTCGACAAGCACATGTTGATTTTTGGGCCCGTTCATGGTGCAAAAAATGCTGGCGCTTTGCATCCTACACTGCGAATTTGTCGGCAGAATGGTGGGTGGTCCGAACATTATCTTGGAATCCTGAGGGATGAAGGAGGTCTGGCCGCCCCCGATTCAAGTGGGGTGAAAAGCTTGCCATGTACGTCGCTACCGAGGCTTGGGAGAATGGAGGGTGGCAGCCCGGAGCACCAACAGATGGCTTGAACGACAGTGAGTTTTTGTGCATCATAGTTCGCTTGTTTCTCATTGTGTATATATATATATATAATATTTCACATCCCCCTCATCAGGCCGCCAATGTGCGTGCAGGGTGGCCATACCTTACCTTACCTTTCTTTAGTTTCTTCAACTCCAAGTTCCCATTCCACTGTGCAGCGTGCGCGACATGGTTGATATAGGGATCTGTCGGCTTTCTGGCTCGCAGCGGCCATGGTCATTGGGCGGGTAGATGCTTGCACTCCACCTTCCACACCCAGTGTGCGACACAGAGAAGGCATCAGGACATCAGGAACATAGACACCAGTAGTCACTAGCACAATTGTCATGCATGTGTGGCCGGGTGCCCAATATTGAGAAACAATCGGGCACTTCAATGACAGATGGGTTCGGGTTTGCGTTGCCATGGTGGTATCTTGGCTAGGTTTGTTGAAAGAGCTGCTGTCGAACCCTTATTTTTCCGAATCTAGCGAGCGTGTATGCAAGTTGCCAATGCCAAAGGATAAGAGAACCACCAACATTGTGTAGGGAAGGGGGACGGACAACCTTGAACACTTCCGACATGAGGCACAACGCAGTCTGATCCAAGAATTGTTCTTGCTCGAATGGATTTTTCAGGCATGTTTCTCCTCCAGCTGGCTCTCGCAGTTTTGTGCTGTGGTGGTGGCAGCCAGGAGGATGAGGCCCTCGCAGTTTTGTGCAGTGGTTTTCCATTAAGCGTGTTTCGGGTGGTCAGATGGTGCAAAGTCAATACTTATCCTTTGTAACCAGTCTGTTGGCACAGTCACGTGGCATTAGCGAGCACGGTTTTTTCGGCGCGCGGCGCCAATTGGGCCGTCCGGCTGCGGCAGGAGAAGGTGCGAGCTGCCTTGGCAGCTTTGCACGCCAACGGCGAAGCCGACCCGCCGTCCAACCGAAGGCCGGCAGGGCAGGAAAAAACATCTCGTGGGGCTGTTCTCCTATAGAACTTTTTGACCATGACATTCGTGAAGCATTCTACACATGTCCTAGGTGCCCAGGTGGAGCTCATGAAGAACGCCCCACCCCCCGTCCCATGCCCAGGAAACGGCCCAGAGGACTGGAGAATTTGCACCGGCAACTGGAACACTTGGAGGCTGAGGCCTCTCAAGACCCGGCCGCTGACGAGAACGATACATGTGACGATGACCGCAACGGCAGCCCTTCGGCGGAAGAGTAAGAGGCTAGAGGGATAGTGTTTTTGTGAGTGGTGTTGCTCATTCGTGGCATCACTTTTCTAACTTGAGAGTGTTTGACGGATCCATCATTCAGCACTGCCTTCGGATTCCAGCAGCCATTGGCCATTGCTCAATATAAGGGGGCTTACCTAAGAAACAGTGTTGTCCTGATTTAAACTACAATGCCAGGCCCGCCCTTTCTTCGAACGATCTTTGAAGTCAGGGCTAAGTATGTCAATGTTTGTTGAAAGCACGTCATTGGCTGCTGAATTTTCATGTCCCACCAGCCCTCCTCATTGTACCCATGCTCGAATCTTCCAATCCCAAGGCATGAATGGGACTGGGCCGCTGGCCAGGATGTTCCGAAAAAAGTACCAGGAGGAGGACAATGGGGCTGACAAGGGGGTGACGAGGGGGGTGTGGGCCAAGTTGCCCTTCAATTTATTTTTACAGATGTGCCAATGTGAAATGGAGTGAATAGAGTCCATTCACATGGCATACCATGATGATGCGCACAAATCAAGAGTTACTGAAGGCCTTGGCTTGCTTAAGAAAAGGCCCGCTTCATTTTTTTGGAGAGGGCTCGGCGCCTGGGTGGTGCCAGTTGGAATTACCATACGGGCCTGTGTGGCGCTCTGACCGGCTTTCTCAGGTCAAGGTTCTTTTGGATAGCCGAGGAAGTCAGGTCACATGAGGTCAGATTGGGTCATGCTTCTGGAGCAGGAGAAGCGACACAGCCGAAAGAAACCAAGCGGAGAGAAGAGGCAGTCTGTTTGCAGCGCGTGCTACAGTTACAGTTGTCATCGCGTGAACTGCGCAACCAAATTCTGAAAATGTTTGCCTTCCAAGGCAGAGCCGTTCTCCCAACTTCCCCAACCGGTGTTTGTATTCCTTCCAAAGCCCTCCACCTCGGCTAAAGACCATTGTCATGCAAAACAGGCGCTCCATGCTCCGAGGGCGAGGCCTGCACAGGGAGTGAGGCACCAACAAGCGACTGCCGCAGGCGCCTCTACATCGCCGAGAAGATGCAGGTTGACACAGCAGTGGTGCGAGGGACCACGGTGCCCTTGGTGCCGGCCGCATGGCCAGGCAACACGAAGCAGGTGGCCTTCCTCTTCTTGACGGAGGATGGCCTGGACTTCGAGGCTGGGGCTGCTGGGGCTGGTGGGGCTGCTAGGGCTGGTGGGGCTAGTGGGGCTGGTGGCTGGGGCGCGTGCTGACGGCCCGTCGCTTGGGGTGTTCGGCGCAGCAACGCTTCAAATGGATGCCAAGGAGCTTTGGGACAAGTTTTTTGGCGAAGCCAGCGCGCCACCTGTGCAGCAAATCATCGGGGGAGAGTTGTTGAACCGCCCTCCATGAAACCCTCCATAATATATAGTGTACACCTTTACCAGTGCGAATGCACACTCATATACAATATATCATACATGTATCATGTATATATTATGGAGCGGCGTTATTTTTGTTTCATTTTTTTTGTTGTTTTTTGGATTCTGCTTTTGCTGCTTTTCTGCTTTTGTTGCTTTTCTGCTTCTGCAGCTTTTTTGCTTTTGTTGCTTTCTAACCTTTGGATCTGATGTGCTGCTTGGGGGGGGCGCTGCCCCCCCAACCCCCCTGCGCCACGAATCTGCACTTCATCTCCGACACCCGCGCCTGCCACGAAATCAATATTTTTAGGTGAACTCCCCGGGCGTAAACTTCTAACCAATCATATATGCCTCCTGTGCCGGTTCTCTTTCTCTCTACTGTTTCTCTGCTAACAGGAATTTTTCTGACACCTACGCTATTCGATTGCATTTTGCCAGCTACGACAGCTCCCAAATTAGTCTAATCAGCTAGCAATTAATATGAAACCTGCACTATTCCAATGTATTTGGCCAGCTACGACACCTGTGTCTCTGCTAAGGACACGAAATTGCTGTAATTAGCTAGGTACTAAGAAGAAACCTGCTCTATTCCAATGTTTTTGAACAAAAGTCCGAACAAAATGAACAATTCCCAAATTACAAGTGCACCCATATATTATTGATATAAATAACAAGCATGCTGCAGGGTCAGAGCCAGGAGCAGCTACCATGGAGGTGTGCCATGTGCGTTGAACTATGCCCGCACCAATTTTGCTTGATTGGCACTTGCCTACACCTAGCAGCTGCCGACCTAGCTGGAATCACCAAACCGGACCTCCCCTCGAGTCGATGGATTCGGACACCCCGCACCGGCAGATCTATGTGATCAACACTTTCCGAGCGGACAGTTCTGTGTGATTACACTCAGTTGTCAACAAAAAGTCCAGTGGGAACCAGGTAGAACATCAAGATGGGCTCCTTCAAAACCCGGCCCAGCGTGCAGATGAAAGAATCCCTTTCTTTGAACCTTTTCTGGACAATCAAAGGGCTGCGGGCCAGTGAGACCATAACATGAAACTGTACATTCACACACCGGTGAGCTATGTTACAAATTCTTCACACTCCTTCTCGGTAGTGTGAGCGGTCATTTGCTCTTTTAACTCACTCTGCCGCTGTCATAGGGTTTTTCTACTCCATTTTCTCTAAGGAACGTGGTTCCTTGAGGTATCCATTGCTGTGTCTTCTGGGTTGCCTCCTCTCGTTTCTATCTCATCTAGCATCATTTGATATCGAACTCTCTCATAGTCGATCTTGTGTGCGAGTTCGTCGTCTTCCTTCTAGTGCCCAGTGTCTTTGGTTCAAACTTTCGATCTTCCTCTGAGGTCGACCACACAGCTGATTCGTTTGTTCATCTTCATATTCCTCCTTCTTCACATATTCTGCATGTCCTGGCTTGAACCGTTTTGATCCTGGTCCATCTGTAGGAACTGCTCCTTGGTGGCTGTTCCAGCATCACGGCATTTCCATGATACTGTCCTCTTGTTGATCTCATGTCTTCCAAGCTCCTTCTGGCTAAGCTGTTTCCTGCGTTTGTCTCTGCAATCATCTCATAGCTGGTTCTGGACATAGAACCTGTTTCTAGCTCTTCTACAATGCCTCCATTGAGAATCAATCCAGTCAAAGTATCTCCGTAGTCTCCACATTGCAAGGGTCATTGCTGCAAAAACAATGATGATTGTGATTCTCCAACTTCTATTGGAGTCTTCCACTTCCAATTTGCATTGGTCAATCTCTCTAATGAATGTACTTGCTTCTGTAACCATTGGCTGCAAGCCCTTAGAAGTCACGATTCTGACAATCATCTTGGCAATCTTGTTGACCTTTCCTGCAAAGTTCTTTTTCTCTTCATACGCCTTTCCCTCAAGCTCACCAACTCTTGTTTGCCATTCATTGTGCCAATAGCCGAAAACGTCGTTCATCCAGAATCTGATTCTCTGGCCTCCAAGTGGTTTGGCAATGTTGCTTGCCATGTTGCTGTCTGTTGGTACCTGTGCCCTATTGAAGTCTTTCTGTTCTGAATCCACGGCAACTTTCCATCTAAATGTCTTACTTTTCCAACTCCTTTTCTTCACAAGTTGACGCGCGCTTGAAGAATCTGTGAAGATGTAATGTCCGCTGTCCCAAACGCAAACTCAAGAAACTGATGCTGAGGAAACTATTGCATGCAACTCTGCCCCAAATGAAGCTAAGCTAATGATCTTCTGTGTCCTGCGGCTTTTGAACAATGGACAACTGTTCAATGCATGGAATCCTCCTGATGTTGACTTTCCATGGCTTTTGTTTCCGCCCCAATCTGAATCTCAACATGTCCCTGAGCGCCAATAGTGTTCCCCTTTCTTCACATAGCCTTCTCCTGCCTGTGGAAGTTCAACTACTAGACAATAGTCCATCGTCTTTTTCAAATATCCTGGACATTTCGTCAAGTGATGAAAGGACATAGTTGTTGGATTTGACATTCTTGAACCCAATTCCTTAACAGTGAATGCCACGTGGTACCTCTCAATGCTTTCTGAATAGGCTGATTTTTTTTGATCTGTCAAGATCTCTGACTTCTCTTCCATCTGAATTGAATTGTCTGATGGTAGTTGTTGAAGTTTGCTCTCCATATGCCTTCAGCATCTGTTGGATGTAGTTACCTGGTTGGATCCAGGTCCATAGTCCATCTTTCTCTAGATTGTACTTTCTCCTCAGGAAGTTGAATTCATCACTGGTCACCAATCCTCTCAATCTGGGGCACGCTGGTGTCAAATCTGTCTTGAATCTTTGGAAGAAAGATTTCATTGATGTACTTTGAACAGCCTGTGAAAATCAAGTCATGCACATGAATCAAAATGATACTCTTCTCATTTCGTCCTAGGCATGGACACTCAGCACTGAATTGCAATGGAGTTCCTCGGTGAGGTGCCCTGTGAAAAAGTCAAACGATGCTTTTGCTCCAACTCTCTGTCCAGGTACATTTCTCTTCACCAAGAATTCTTCTCCTCTCAGATTGACTTTCAAAGGTATTTATCCTGTGGAACTTGCAAGAATGCGTCTTTCACATCAAGACAACCTAGTATTTGGGAAAATGCTCCTTCTCCTTCTCTTGCTTCTTCCTCCTCACTGACTCTCTGCAAGAATATTGTGGGTAGAAGCTTCAGCACATGGCCTGAAGTCGCTGGTGAGAAAATTGCATCTCTCTTTCCTTCAGCGAAAGCATATTCTCTTGCAACTAGTCTTGATCTTCTCTGTTGTTCCATCTCCACGGTGATAAGGCTTCTTTCTCCAGTCATACAAATTGCGTGTAGTCAGGAGGCTGATATCTTCTGTGCTAGGTTCTGGTTTCTCTAGCACCTGCATCTTCTGAAATCTTTCTCTTCAACTTCATCAGCTACTCGATTCATCCATTCTATCTTCTTCTGGTTCATGTTCTCCATCACGCCACAAGCTTTCAGGTCCATTCAATTCATCTTCTGCTTCTCCTTCCTCATCTCCTCCTTCTTCCCAGTCTTCTTCATCAACTTCTTCTGCAACTGGGGATGGCTATTCATCTACATGATAGAGATCTTTTCCTGCTACCATTGCCTTCTTGCTTGAATCTTCTGATGGCATGAGTTTCTTCATAGGACTTTGTTCTTCAAGCACTTCAAAGGCTTCCCTTAGTCTCGAAGGCGCTGGTGGTGATCTCAGTGAAGATAGTATAGGAGTAACTGGCTTGGGTTGCCCTGCTGGCAATGATGTAGATGGGAATGCCTTCGCCTTGTCAAGTGTCTTTTCACCCTGCAAAGGGAACTTTCGGTTTTTCTTACTTGGAGTCTCCTCTCCACTTGGCTTCATGTCACCCCCATCTCTCCTCATTGCTTCTCCCAGAATTTCCTGCGGGGCTGGAACCGTAGTGCCTCTTCTTTCTCTGAGCCACTTCCTCCCCAAGAGCTTTTGCCATAACTGCTTCTGCATCTTCATCTTTGAATTTCAGCATCACATGCTTTCGACAAATATCTGCCTGTGCTGCTGGCAATTCTTCTGCTCTTCTCTTTGTGGCAATGATTCTGCCTCCATAGTTTGTCTGGTATGTCTGGTACTTCCATGAATAGGCATTGAAGCTTTGTAGATTGCCAGGCACTTAAACCAATCTTGATTTGTTCTCCTGATGCATTTGCTCAGCCATCTTTTGAACTTTCCCCAAGAACAAGCACAGATGCCATCAAGCTTCTTTTTTGTTGAGACTTCTGATGTAACTATAGTCACGGACGGCCAGTAGGCAGGGATTTTTCTGCTTACTACTGTCCTCCGGGGGGTATATTTGAGCATTTTCCCTAGGTTTATATATAGAGGGGTATGTGGAGACCACAGTAGTAAGCAGAAAAATATCACCGACCAAAACGATGCCGGCACATCATGGTTCCTTTGTCCCCTTTCCTTCTCTCTCTCTCTCTCACACTTCCCCCGTCCAATTTGGATGCATTCTTGCGGTGATTGTGCTTTACTGCATGTATATATATACTTATGAATGAGGACAGGAAGGTGAGGAAGGAGATGGCAGCGAGGGAGGTAGAGGATGCTTGCGGTGGTGAGGTAGGTGGAACGTTGAAGCAAAGGTGCTAGGTGGCCTTAGTGGAGCTTATATAGGAGAGACTGCGGGTTTGCTAAGAGCATAGCTGCTTGAGCGTTGGCGCCTTAGCTAAGTGCGTAGCTGCATGTGCGTTGGCACGTTGGGGTTAGGGGAATGCCTTGGAAATTGCTGTGGAACCATAGCCTTTGAAGCCGTGCCCCTGCAATGAGGAACCATTTGTGGAACGGACTGCAGTAAGCATTTACCAATCTGCTTACTACTGATAGCTGTAGTGAAGAGAAAGCACCAAGTATCAATGTTGGATAACAATTCCTACAAGAACATACTGTACACAATGACCTAGTTGTGG